TTCCTTTGCTCTACAGGATATGTCATGATTACCAGGTTTCAACTAAAGTGGCACAGGGAATATTTATTTACGAGTATTTTGCTTTTGAGTCTTCTCAGTGCATACTTTTGTTTTTGAATTTCGACTTTGAATTACGAATTGTCACTATATGGTATAGATATATATATATATACTTATACACACATATTATTAAAATGTGTTTATGTATGGCTCATAGCGGACGTTTGAAACGTTTATCTACTGCTAGATAACAAAATATACAAGCGTTTGTAGCGTATCAGTACATATTCAATATCATGTCAATCACATGATGAAACGCTGATATATTTATATCATTATGTACCATTATCAGGGTACTGAACTTGATAATAGTCGAAAGAACAGGAAGTTCTGTCCAATATATCTCATGTGTACTTACCTGTATTGGATAGATACATTTAAAACCTTTTATAAGGATAGTTATTTACTACATTAACCACAGTCACAAACTCACTAATCTGAAGAATTAGCCGTCTAAAATTATGTTTAAAACTTATTAAACAAGGAAATGTCTGTAAGACATAAATGCCCCGCTGTCATGTGAAATTAGTTTCAGTGTTCTATAAAAAGTAGCAACCACTTTGATCTTGATACCCTGAATGAACTTGCTAAGTGTTTACGTTGAATCAGTCGATGATTTTCTATATAAAGCAAGTGTGACCTTGGCCTTGACCTTGGATACCTGAGTACAACGATGTCCGAAGTATACTCATACCTGTACTTGACCTTTGTATTAAGTTTGACCATAATCTGTCAAAGAATGAAGTTGATAAGTATTTACATTGAATCGGGACGGGACGGGACGATTTTCTATATATAGCAAGTGTGACCTTGCCATTGATCTTGGATCCCTAAAATACAATGATGTCCGAAGTATAATCATACTTGACCTTTGTATAAGGTTTGACCAAAATCTGTCAAAGAATGAAGTTGATAAGTGTTAACATTGAATCGGGACGGGACGGGACGCAACGCAACGCAACGTGACGGGACGGGACGGGACGGGACGGGCATGGGTGATACTATATGACCTCATTTTATGGCGGGGGCATAAACATCATAGTTGTTATCTTAAGTTTAACTGAATAACACTTTTCAATCTTCAAAATGATAGTTAATTGCTAAGTAATAAATGTCTCTTGGAGGTTGTGTAAAAACCTATTTTTAATAAACAAAATACAGATCTTGTAATTACAAAATTAGAAAAGTTTGTGTGATACAATATGCTTGGAGAAACCTCGGTTTAACGCCTATTGTTTTATCTGTCACTTCGCTTATTGCCAACAAATTTCAAGGTTACAGTATCCATTTTTCTCAATAACATATGTATACGTTTCCTTCGCCTAACCTCTTTAAAATGACAATGTAAAACGATAATGTTGGATTTTACTATACATTTATAACCTCTTTATATATAACAGATACATGTCCTTATTTGGAGCAATCATGTAGTGCATACCATGTTGGTATAGGGGATGGGGGAATTCTACCAAATGGTGTATAATTTGGCTCAGAGCCAAGAGTTCGCCGACGTGCATAGCCTAATACTAGTAAACCCGAGAAAAAGGATTTCCCTGTTTTCCATATCAAACATTATGATTGACTTTTTTCTCCCACTTTCTATCCGGGAATTACGTAAAAATCGACGATAACTTTGCGAATACTACAGTAACAAAGTAGATTTCAAGTTGACATACAAATTAAGTAAGAACACATTTGCTAACGTTTCACAGGACTTTGTTTTATTAATTGTTTATATCAGTGGGCTATATCAGATGACATCAATTAAATAATGTTACGTACACATTTGAATGATATCATGTTTCGGAAAGTCAGTCGATGAAATACTTAACATTTTAAACTCAAACAGTGTGTTTTCCACATGGGAAACGTATATCTTGCATACACAGACATGTGGAAAATATATGTATTGCATGACTGCCTGATTGATCTAAATCGTGACTAGGAAACGCATAAAAACAAACTGATTCATTTAAACTGTTCAGTATCTGGTGTACCGACGTTTTGTAACCTGACGGTATCTTACTGTTTCAAATGACAACCGTCATTGTTTAATTGTCATTTTCATCTGTGAAAAGATGTTTACCGCTAAAATACAGCGTATAACTGATATTGTCCCGCGGAAACAATACAATTATAAAACAATAGAACTGTCAAACTTTTCAAGCAGATGTTGTATTAGTAATGTACCATAAGTATACATTAATTTTCTGCTCTATTCTTATATGCGTTAAATATATTTGTTTTGTTACGTAGACCATTTATTATAAACATTCTCAATGAAGATCGATTTTCACC